ATTTCATCTACCCCTTATACATAATAGTGCTAACAATGTGTCAGGCACTCTTCTGTGCACTTCTAAGTATTATTCTGTTTAATCTTACAAGTACTCTGTAAAGTACATTTTACTATCATCCCCATTGTACAGATAAGGAAACTGAGGGACAGAGAAGTTAAATAACATACTGAAGATCAGTTAGTAAGTGGTTAAGGCAGAATTTGAACCTGAGTAGTCTGGCCCTAAAGCCCTCACCTTGAATCACATTTCAAGAGGGCCAACCCTTGAACCTCAGCCTCCTTCTCTTTTGCATGAACCAATGGTCAGAGAGGACCCGAGTTTCACCGGATGAGGAATGGTTGACAAAAGGATTTGGGCCTGACCTTGTGGAAGGTAGTCCCATCCAGTCGGACTCCATCTCGGAACCACAGCAGCTCCTGGTTAGGGCGGGCATTCCCACGGCTCCGGCAGGTCAGGTTCGCAGGAACTCCAACAACCAGAGACACAGAGGGCCCACCCAGAACCTGGGGGGGCTCTGGGGGCACTGAATGATAGAGATGTGGTCAGAACTAGATCTTGGGCCCAGAGATCCCCATCTTCTCCACTTCAGTGTATCACCCACTGGGCACCCAGAACTGACAGTCCCGGTTAATACCGGCTCCCCCGACACACACACCCCGCCAAGAAACAGGTAGGCTGAGTCCTCACCCAGCACGTGCAGTTGGGCTGGTCGAGATCTGAGGCCTGCTTGTGTAGCCTGACATTCATACAATGCCTCATCCTCTAGCTCCACCGGCCTAATGTGGAGGTCATGCTGACCACTGCCTGCATTCCCTGATATCCAGTACCTGGACCACCCTGGAATCAGGGAAGAGATAGTCACATACGATTCCAAGTACCTGGCATCAGGCTCTCACCCAGACATTCCTCACCAGAAAACTGGTGCATGCACTCAACAGAAAGACAGTTTCAAAGGGTGCTCTGAGCACACATCTGTAATATCAGCACTGTGGGAGGCTGAGGCAAGAAGATCACAATTTCAAACCCCACCTTAAAATTAAAGATTATGCCTTAAAATTAAACATTAAAAAGGGCTAGGGATGTACTTCAGTGCAAAAGCCCTGGGTTCAATCCCCAGTACCAAAGGTTGGGTTAGGGGTGGGAATGGCGGAAGTGTGCCCTGGACTCAGAGAGACTCTAACCCAAGGTAGACTCTGTCCCAAGATAGAGACACTGCGAACTTGGGGACAGTGCACTTAGAAAGCAAAACAAGAAAATAACTGTATAAACATTAGGTACTACCTCTGGACTATGGAAGGGAAAAGGAATAAGGGGGCTTATGGGAAACTGGCGATGATCTAGCATGGGTGTCTGTAATGATTTGGCAACTTGTCCATTTTGGTTTACAGAACTTTTCTGCATTTATATCCCCAAGCTATTTATATGGGTCACCCCCAGAGAAGCAGCTCAAAAACCTCACTCCCTAATGTTTACCTTAGTACATCAATTTCCCGAAGTTGAAAACATCAGGATAGAAACATCGGATACAGTCCAACTTCAAATACAGCAGCGCCCACCCGCTCTAGTACCCCGCCTCGCTGAGCAGAGGACCGCCTCACCTGGCAAGTCCCTTTCGCCGCCTAGAGCCAGCCCATCCTTAGTCCACTGCACAAGCCCCCTGTAGGCGCCCAGAGCACAGGGCAGCCAGGCTTCCTCCCCCAGCAGCACCACGAGGTCCTCCGGCTGTTTCAGGAAGTGGGGCGACAGACCTAGGAGAATGGGGGACAGGAGAGCTGAGCTTTGCGTATGTAAGAGCTCTCTCATCCAGCGACCCAGGAGTCCAGTCCCCGGAATCGGAAAGTCAGAGCGCTCCCGGCTTAGACGCAGCAGTCCGGTCCCCTGGTAAAGCAGCGGCCGGCAAACTGCATGCGTCTGCTCCGCATCCGGTACCTGCGCGCCCCCTGAAGCAAAAGAGGAGGACGAGGAGGGCGGCGACCAGCATCCTCAGTGTGCGTCCCCCAAGGTCCGCGAGACCTGGGGCTGCACTGGCTTCCCTCCAACTTCTCTCTGGGCGGCACACCTCTCACCGCTCTGGACCGGAACCCCCTTCGCGCCCCACTCTTGGCGTGCAGTGGCTGGAGACCCCTGTCACTGTCCTTGGTCCCCGAAGTTTACTCATCCACAGCCTCCGTCCGTCTGAAACGCTTGCCACTTCCGCGCCCCGGAATCTGCAAGACCCAGGAGGTAGAGGGTGGAGTGGATGGAGCGGATCCCTCTCGCCCTGCCCTCGCCCGCCCCCTGGGAGACCAGCCCTCTTCCATTGAGAAACTCACGCAGCCAGGACTTGTGTGAATGGGGCACCCCGGCGGGGGCTGCCCAGCGGGCGGGCGCCCCAGCGCAATTGGGGTCTGGGAGCCGGATCACCTGGATCCAAAGAGCGGGTCCTGCCTGGGTTGGACATCTGCGCCCTGTCGGTGTGTGTGTGTGTGTGTGTGTGTGTGTGTATGGGGGAAGGGCTGGGGGTGAGGTGGAGGGAAGGGAGAGTGGAAGAAAGTTGCTCAGCCGGGGTTCTGGAGGGACCAGGCTGAGTGGAAACTGAACTATAAATGGGAGCCTCTAGGGCCTCGCCAGTTTCCGCGCCTTGGGGAGGCGCAGCCCAGTACTCCGCTGGGCTTAAGGGTCGGGGAGCGGGCACCTGGGTCCCGGAATCCCACAGGGAAACCTAAAAAAGGGGGCTCGGCTCCCTACATTTCAAAACTCCTCCTCCAAATATCCCTTTGTTGCCTTGTTACCGCCTCAAACCATAGCACGTCCTAAGTAAGATCCAGGAATCCGGGACCCCAGCCCCTCCTTTCCCAGGACCCTGCAGTTCCAGCCCCTCTCCCCACCCACAGACTGGGCCCCTCGGCCTCAGTTGCCCGGCGACGGCTGGGAGGCAGGGAGTGTCCCAGCTCCCGCAGGCCTAGAGGCTGGGAATCGCGCAGCTTGTCCTGACGGCTCCATGCAGTCCAGCTGGGGCGTTCCCACGCTGCGCAGCTGGCCAAGCAGGTGGGAGGGACACTGAGCCTAGGGAAGGGGCTGGGGGCTGGGACCCTGGGTCTGACATTCTGGGACCTGCAGCAATTGAAACTCCACATGCAGGCTCTTAGATGTTCGTGGGCTGGGGCTTCTTCCTACCTACATGGCAGGGGGTTGGACTTCAAGGGCTGTAAGGCACTGGTGGCTCAGCTCTCTGCTGGCTGAGATGCTGATGATCTGGACTCCCTGGGCCTTGAGGCGTGTAGCATGGTGCTGTTAAGCCAGGGTCAGAATATCTGGTCTTAAATCCTAGAGCCAGTGGATTTAACCCCCCCCCACACACACACACACATACAGGGCTAGGATTTGAAAATCAACAGACAGTGAACATCTGGCCTAAGTCCTGTGTACCCCAGGCAAAAGCCAGAGGATTGGAGACCTGAACTCAAGGGTCCTCGGAGAGAAAGGCTGGGGATCTGGACTGCTGAGTCTAAGAGAGGGTCCTGGGGTCCTGAAATTCTGCTTCTATGTTGTGAATCCAGGGCTTGGATTTTGAAATAGGATGGGCTTGGGTCTAGGACTCCTGTGTCTTGGGGAGGAAGTCGAGGATGAGGCTGTTTTTCCAGACACTTACTGTTGCTTCCCCTTCCTGGCTCTCTGGGGCCACAGGCTTTAAAAAAAAAAGGAGAGTTTGAATCCCAGGAGCATACAGACAAGGAAAACAGCCAAGGTGGAGGATAGAAGGTTTGTGCTAATTAAAGGTCCCTACAACTGATAGCTCTACACCCTGGCCCTTTGGGACACCATCTGGTGAGGGTCCCATGACAACCCCCCAGGTCTGTCTCCAGCCTATTTCCCAGGAGGAATGGGGAGCAGTTGGGAAGGGGAATGTGGAAGGAAGGGAAGGAGTGAATAATGGGGGGGGGGTTCTAGAAGAGCATCAAGAGTGGAGCTTTGGGGTCTCAGGCCAGATGCTTCATCTTTTTCCTGGAGGAGGACGGGAAAGGGGGTCTCAGGAAGGGGGAAAAAGCGAACAGTTGCAATTCCTGCAGGAGATAAGCAAGCAGAAGGAGCTTAGCCCATGCAAGTATGTATGTGCACACTGGGGTGGGGGCCAGGCCAGGCAGCATATGGTTATAAAATGCAGGGATGTGAGGATCAGGACTCAAAGCTAGAGAAACTAATGAGAAAGAGGCACAGGCGGAGGCTGGCAGAGAAATATTTATTGAGCTCCTGGTGTGCGAGAGACAGAATGTAGGGTAGCTGAAGTGATCAAGATGAGAACAGAGACCAAAGACAAAACAGAGACACATAGAAGCATAGAGACAGTGAAATAGTTAAAGATTTAATGAGAAAGAGAGAGAGAGAGAGGTCTCAAAGAGGTAGAGAAAGATAAATGAAGATGGAGAGAGAGACACACACAAAGAAAGAAGGAAGAGATGGAGAAGATGGACATAGGGACAAAAGGACACTCACACAGCCTTTACCAAAGGGCACCCCCACTGGCTGCTGGCAGATTTGAATTCCGGTTTTCATTACCTCCTCTGAGTGCCCTGCTCCCTGCACCCTCATGCTGAACATGCTCTCACACACTCACTCCCACATGCATGCACAGGTCACACTGTACTCTCAGCCCCATGCTCTCATTCTCACAGGTACACTCACACCTCTATGCACACAGATAGCTTCATCTCCCTCCCACACTCTCCCGAGTTCACACACACTCTTGTACACTTCTAAGCAAAGACCCCGGATGTCGCTGAGAGGCTGGTGTCTACTCAAGGAAGCAAGGGACTTGCCAAGGTCATGCATCTAGGCAGGGAAGGGCGGAGGAGCCATCCGCCCACGTGGCCCAGCTCTCTGCTCTCCATGCTGAACTGGGAGATGGTCCAGGTCTGACCTGCTCTCCCAGGCCCTCGGGGTCAAGAGGCTTGGGGAGGCACCAAAGAATATGCCCGGCATGTGCTGACAGGGGATTTCATGCTCCAGCTGGGCCGGGAGGAGCCTGCTGGGCAGTGGCTGGAGCTGGAGGCTCAGGAGGGGCTTGGAGGAGCAGCAGTATGAGAGAGAAGCTTAGGCTGGGTCCAAGGACCAGCTCAATGCAGCCACTGAACAATCAGCCTCTTGGCTCTCCTGGGCTCAAGGGGCCACTGGACTCTAAGCAGCAGGTGCAGGTGAAGGGGCTGTGAGTGGTTCAAGGAGAGCAGACACAGGAGTAGAGGAGAGAAGAAAGACAGAGACTGCTGCAGAGAGATAGAAACACAGAAACACACACACATCAGGGGAAGGGCGGTACACTCAGAGAGTCTCGTGGGGAGGAGTTTAACAGGGAAAGATAGAGAAGGAGGCAGAGGAGACCCTGAGACAGCAGAGGAGTGAAACAAATAAAGAGACAGTCCTGGGAAGGGAGGAAAACAGAGAAGGGGGAGAGGAAGAAGGAGGGGAGGAGAAAGAGCAAGAGGAAGAGGAGGAAGAGGAGACAGAGACACACAATGAAGGGCCCACAGACAGACCGTGGCAGATGTAGGTGGCAGATAATGGACACTGTGGCAGCCATGGCCAGAGGCAGTGGTACGGCCCTGAGGACCCCCTTCAGAGCTCCCCTGCTGTTCGTGGGGCTGCTGATCACAGGTGAGTGGGATCCTGGCCTTGTACCCAGTGTCTGCTGGCTCATTTCCCACCTTTTCCCTAGACTGACCCTCTGTCCCGTCCTCTGACCCCTTTGTGTCCCCAGGCCTGATCCAGTTGCCAGTCTCCACCTCAGTCCCTCGAGGGTTCTGGGCCCTACCTGAAAACCTGACAGCCGTGGAAGGGGCCAGGGTGGAGCTGAAGTGTGGCGTCAGCGCACCTGGCAGTGTTGTACAGTGGGCCAAGGATGGCCTGCTGTTGGGCCCCAACCCAGGGATCCCAGGTTTCCCGAGATACCACATGGAAGGAGATCCTGCTCGAGGTGAGGGATCAGAGCCTGGGACTCTGAGCCACCAGCAGAGGCTGTGGTCCTGACCGTGGGGGGGGGGGGGTCCCATCCACAGGTGAATTCCATCTGTGCATTGAAGCATGTGACCTCAGCGATGACGCAGAATATGAGTGCCAGGTTGGCCGCTCAGAGACAGGCCCTGAACTCGTGTCTCCCAGAGTGAGCCTCTCCATCCTGGGTATGGGTGAGAGACCCCCGTGACCCAGGAGTTGGGGCTCCCAGTCCCTCTCCCTCAGATCCTGGGTACAAGACTCATTTCCTGAGCAAGGAGTCTCGACCCAAATCTTCATGTCCTTCTCTGAGTGGGGGCTTATTTCAGACCTTTTCTCTCCAGTTCCCCCCAAGGTGCTTCAGCTGACCCCTGAGGCAGGGACCACAGTCACCTGGGTAGCTGGGCAGGAATATATGGTCAGCTGTGTATCTGGGGATGCAAAGCCAGCACCTGACATCACCTTCCTCCAGAGTGAGTGTTCATGAATTGAAGGGGGCAATGTGACACCCTGGAGTAGGGATGGGGTATATTCCTGACAAGTGCCCTCGGAGGTCCAGAAAATATGTCATCCCTGAGATAAGGACCTAGGGGCAGGGAAGGGTGTTGCTGAGGACAGCATGCAAACTGCTGGATGGGAGGGGATATCCTGGGGGAGGCATCTAGGAGGATGCAGATCAGCTGGCCTGGGGCCCTGGACAAGAGGAGGCTCAGGTGAGATATGGGCAGTGATGGCAGTTTAGAAGTGAGAAGTGGATTGCTTCTCGGCCACTTGGCTAAGATCAAGTGTAGAAATGAGAAGTGGAGGTGATGGGAATGCTCCTACCCAGGAGGAGAGGAGAAGGGAGAGCCACAGGACCCCGCCCTTCGGACTCTGGTGTTCAGGGATTCCTGAATGAGGGAGGGGACATAGTCGGCACAGCCAGGAGGAGGACTATCGTATCTGCCCCAAGACTTCCAGGCCACGCTTCCCAGCATCTATCCTGGGGGGAACCTAGCACCCCTCTGGCCTTCTTGTTGCCCTAAGGTGGACAAACAATATCCAGCATCTCTGTCGATGTGAATGAAGGGTCCCAGGAGAAGCTCTTCAGCATAGAGGCCACAGCCAGGTGTGCAGGTTGGCGATATCCTCTCCCTTGCCTGACCCATGACAGTCCAATATTTCAGCAATTCAAGCATGGAACTAGGGCTGGGTATGAGTATCTGGGGGCTGTTTTTGTGTGTGTGTGTGGGAGACTCAATTCTTCACTTGGACACTCAAAATTTTGTCAAGGGAACTCCAGTTCCTGGATATCAGACACAAAGGTTTAGGCCCGGTGTGGCCCTCTGAAACCTAACTCTTACTGTCAAAGCCCTGAATCTCTCCCTCGGAACTCCAGACCTTAGAAGAGTTCACTATGGAGATAGAGACCAGGCATGGGAACCTAGGGTCCTATTTCTTCACACTGACTCCCTAAATTTCAGATGATAGCGCTGACTCTACTTAACCCAACTTCCTATCCCAGGGTGATACCCCAGAGCTCGGATAATGGGCAATTACTAGTCTGTGAGGGATCCAGCCCAGCTTTGGTCAGCCCCATCAAAGCCTCAATCACCATGAATGTTCTGTGTAAGTGAACAGTTGAGCTATTGTGGGCACTGAGGGTGGAAAGCAGAATTTGAGGGTCCTGAGGGGTCACAGGGATTATGGAAAATTCAGGCAAAGAAAAAACATGGCAGTGCCAGATGTGGTGGCGTACACCTGTAATGCCAGCACTTGGGAGGCTAAAGCAGGAGGATCACCTTGAGTTCGAGGCCAGCCTGGGCTACACAGGGAGTTCAAGGCCAGCCTGAACTACATACCAAGACCCTGTGTTGAGGCAGGTTATGGGGACTAAAAAAAAATGGATGGGCTTCTCAGGCTTACTGAGTGACTGCTGCTCCCTAGTTCCCCCAGGACCTCCTATCATCGAGTGGCCAGGCCTAAATGAGGGGCTCGTTAGGGCAGGGCAGAACTTGGAGCTGCCATGCACAGCCCGAGGGGGAAACCCACCAGCCACACTGCAGTGGCTGAAGGTAAGAACAGAAGTAGGTGTGGGCGTGGGGGGAGGGCAGGGGCGAGGAGCTGGCTCTGAGCTGGTCTAGGCCTGTTCCTGTCTCTAGAATGGCCGGCCTGTGCACATAGCATGGGGCACAGAGCATGCGCATGCCACCGCCCGAAGTGTACTCACAATGACCGTTCGGCCAGAAGACCACGGAGCCAAAATCAGCTGTGAAGCCTACAACAGTGTATCTGCAGGGACCCAGGAACGAAGTGTCACACTGCAGGTCTCCTGTGAGTTCTGATATCAGCTGTCCATCTGTCGGCTCCTGTCCCAGTAAACCATCTGTCTGTGCCTCCAAATCACGCCTGTCTGATGTCAGAGACCTTATCCACATCCTCTGTCTCTCTGTCTGGAGTGGTATTGGGGCCCCCTGCCCAGCCATGTGTCTCTCCTCTGTCCATGTGTCCTGCAGTTCCTCCCAGTGCCATAACCATCTTGGGATCTGCATCACAGTCTGAGAACAAGAATGTGACTCTCTGCTGCCTCACGAAGTCCAGTCGCCCGAGGGTCCTGCTGCGATGGTGGCTGGGTGGGCGGCAGCTGCAGCCCGCGGAGGAGACAGTCATGGATGTGAGGAGGGGGTCAAGCCAAAAGGGGGCTGAAGGCATGCAAGCCGGAGCTGGCAGAGGCGGGTGGGCAGCTTGGAGGCCTTGATCCTCAAGGAGGTTGGGCAAGGGCCCTGATCTCCAGGTCTGGGAGATGAGGAGGTAGAGATGCTTAACTGTCCCTGCTGGAGTCTGGGGTGGACTGGGCCTCTGATATCATAACGGGGGGCACCTCAGCTCTCAAGTCTGAAGCTTGCTCCCTGCTAGGGCCTGCATGGTGGTCACATCTCCATGTCCAATCTGACCTTGCTGGTGCGCCGGGAAGACAATGGCCTGACCCTTACCTGTGAGGCCTTCAGTGAGGCCTTCACCAAGGAGACCTTCAAGAAGTCTCTCACCTTGAATGTGAAATGTGAGCCACTAACCTGGCCCAGGAAACCCACAGGTCCCTGAACCCCTGCTTCAGGCCCCAGCCTAGAATACTCTTTCTGCCTCTCCTCCCAGATCCTGCCCAGAAGCTATGGATTGAGGGACCCCAAGAAGGGCAGCACCTCCGGACTGGGACCCGCGTGAAGCTGGTGTGTTTGGCCATTGGGGGCAACCCAGACCCCTCCCTCATCTGGTACAAGGTTGGTGCCAGGCAACAGCTGTGGGGTGGCCAGGAAGGCAGGGGAAGGGCAAAGATTTCCCCTCCCTCAAAGTCGTGAGAAGACAAAAATTTCTTAAACAATACTGGAAATTCTGGATATTGGAAGGGAATTGGAAAAGACACAAATGTCTAAGGTAAATGGAATCTTAGGACATTTCTAGGAATTCTGGGAACACAATTCCCAAATAAAAGAAGGAATTCTGGATCAAGGTTGGAAATTATATAGATATGGCAATTAATTCTATTTAATATAAAGGAAATTCTGGTGAAAAAATCTCAGGGAAATGTGACGAATTTTAGGGACAGGTTATAAACTATAAAAGCTAGCTATTTGGGGGGAAAGACTTGTAATTCCACAGAATATTGAAAATCTATTAATATTACATTGAATTCTTGAAATTCATTAGAAAATGAAATTCCACTTAAAAAAGAAAATTTAACAGAATTCTGGGGAAAACTTGAGAAGTCAAGGAGCCACTGGAGATTCTGGGGGTGGGATTACAGGAGTGACAATGGAATTACATTTTAATTGGAAAGAATTCCGAGAAAATGCCAAGAATTCGGGCAACGCAGAGGATTCTAGTAAAAGATTAGACCAATAAGGAACTATGGGGGAAAGATTCAGCAATCTGTGGAGAGACACTGGAATTAAGGGAAAGGTCTGCCAAAGATTTCCTGTGGGGAAAGTGGGAAATTTTCAAGAGCAAGAATGAAAAAGGAAGGAATTCTGCACAAGGTTTGGGAGTTTAAAGGGAGTTTACTGGAACATAGCGTTTGGCAAGTAGTGCAGTTATAGACTTTGGGACTGGGTGGGGGTCACAGGAGGCCCAGGGGAGGCGGGAAAGACTCCGGGGCTGGATGTGCTCAGTTCCAGGCGCACTCCTTTACCCGGAGGGGTGCCCGTTGGTGGGGGTGGCTTCCGACCCCATGGGGATGTGTCAGGGCTGGGTAGGGAAGGCGGGGCTACCCGCAGTCCCCCAGCCAGGTCTGGTCCTCAGGACGCACGCCCGGTGATGGAGCCGCGGCCGCCCCAGGAGCCAAGGCGGGTGCAGCTGGGAAATCTGGAGAAGTCCGGGAGCACCTTCTCCCGCGAGCTGGTGCTGGTCCTAGGCCCGCCGGACAACAAGGCCAAGTTCTCGTGCAAGGCGGGCCAGCTGAGCGCGTCCACGCAGATCGTGGTGCTGTGTGAGGGCCCACGCGGGGCCGGGGGCGAGGCCGGAGGCGGGCCGGGGGCGGGGCAGTGGCGGTGGCGGGGCTTGCAGGGACCCGAGTGGGGACTGGATGCCGCTGAAGTGGATCAGGTTACCCCCTCACGTCTGAGCCGCTCTCTTCCTACCTGCTAAGTTCCCCCAACTAACTTGACGATCCTGGCCAACGCGTCGGCGCTGCGTCCAGGCGACGCCTTAAATTTAACGTGCGTCAGTGTGAGCAGCAACCCGCCTGTCAACTTGTCCTGGGACAAGGAGGGGCAGAGGTGAGTGTGCGAGGCCCCGCCCTTTCTTGGTATAGCCCCTCCCCGGTCTGGCTCCGCCCACCAGGTTCTAGCCGCGCCCATGTCCCCCATCCCTTGCATAACCCAATTTCCTGCTTGGAGCGCAGGCTGGAAGACATGGCCGCACCGCCCCAGAGCGCCCCGTTCAGAGGCTCTGCTGCATCCAGGAGCGTTTTTCTTCGGGTGTCATCCCGCGATCACGGCCACCGCGTGACCTGCCAAGCCCACAGCACCGAGCTCCGCGAAACCGTGAGCTCCTTCTACCGCTTCAACGTGCTATGTATGTGCGCCGACCCGAACCACATACACACATACACCCTAAAATACTCCAGTCTTCACTTTGACACTGTCTTTGATCCCTGCCTTGAATCTTACAACTTTCCTAGTCTTGCTCCCGACCCTGCACAAACGCCTATCCTGCTGAGCCCCCATCTTACTTTTTGCCTTCTGTGATGACTCATGAGCCCTATCCTGACCCTTCTCTCCATCCTTAAACTTGACCCTGACTCTATCCTTTTTCTAAATTGGATTTTTTTTTAGCGGGGGGGATCTTTTTGAGACAGGGTCTCACTATGCATGCAGTTCAGGCTGGTCTTAAACTCACTTTGATGCTCAGGCTGGCCTTGAACTCCCAACAATCCTCCTGCCTCAGCCTCCTGAGTGCTGGGATTACAGGCCTGCGCCACTACTCCCAGCTCTCTAAATTGGATTTTAATTTCCATCCTGAACTTTACTCCTAAGCTCAGCTCAGACACTGTTACCTTGTCTACAACCTTAGTCTTACTTGTGACCCTGACTTTAGCCTTTGAAATGGTCCTTGAACTCAATCCTAGCCCTGACTCTGACCTTACCTCTTGACTCCCTGTGGCACCTGCTCTGAAGACCCTCCCGAGTTCCTGGGGGAGCAAGTGCTAGTGGTGACAGCGGTGGAGCAGGGTGAGGCACTGCTGCCTGTGTCTGTGTCTGCTAACCCCGCACCTGAGGCCTTCAACTGGACCTTCCGTGGCTATCGCCTCAGCCCAGGTGCGGGGAGTGGGCATGCAGAGGGATGGAGGTCCCTGATGGTGGAAGGGCCTGCTAGCCCCTTACCCTGGCCTTCTGCAGCTGGTGGTCCCCGGCATCGCATCCTGTCCAATGGGGCTCTGCAGCTGTGGAATGTAACCCGTTCTGATGATGGCTTCTATCAGCTGCATTGCCAGAACTCGGAGGGCACCGCAGAAGCACTGGTGCGGCTGGATGTGCATTGTGAGCCCCCGAAATGCTATAGGAAACCAGGGTCTCTGGGAGTCCCACCTACCTTGGAAGCCACACCTACCCAAGGAATCTTGCCCACTGTGGAGTCTTTTTAATATAGAAGCTTTACCCACCCAGGGATAAACACCTGTCCTAAATCCCTCCCAGCATGGAACCCCTGTCCAGTAGAGACCAATTTGGAGTCTCTACCCAGAAAAGAAACCCACCTTCGGGAAACCAAACCCACTGTGGAAGCTCCACACCTACATGATACTGGCAGTGGGTCCAACAGTTATCACAGAAGCATGGTAGAGGATGGGGACAACTTCACCAGCCCTGAGAATCTCTAAGAAATCTCCTCCAAGTGCTTCACTTAAAGGGCAAATTGTGTCTACCCTCTTAAGTTTTATGGTCACCTGTAAAATACCTCTTGTACCTATAGCCCTCTCCCACTATGGCCTGTCTGGGCCCAAGTGCCTTCCCCAAGCCCCTGTCTCTCCCTAGATGCTCCTACCATCCGTGCACTCCAGGACCCTACTGAAGTGGATGTTGGGGGTTCTGTGGACATTGTTTGCACCGCTGATGCCAATCCCATCCTCCCAGACATGTTCAACTGGGAGAGGCTGGTGAGGACGCAAACTTTGGTGAATGCAGGAGGGGCAGGGGGTGTGGTTTCTTGACAGTAAGCTTGTTGGGAGTAGAGGCCATGTCTGTGTGACCCTGTATAACTATATATTCATTGGAGTAAGCCCCAGAAACTAGTGACTCTTTGTTGAAAGGCAGATGAATCGGTAGACGAGTGAGTGGTTCGGTGAGTGGATAGGTGGATGGATAGAGATGGGTGGATGGGTAGGTGGGCAGATGAAAGAGTGAAGTGAAGATAAAGCAAAAGTGAAAGGATGGGTGGATGATTGGATGGGAGCATTGAGTGGATAAACAGATCAGATTAGAGAGTAGATGAGTGGATAAATACACCATCAGTAGAAACATGTCTGGAAGGATGATGGTTGGATCAAGGGATGGATAGATCTGTGGAGATATGGACAAACAGACAACTGGATAAAAGACTGAACAGGCGCATGTATTTATGAGTGTGTACATATATGAGTGAATAGATGGGGTGAATAGATAGGGAGCTGCAAGGATGGATATATGGGTGCATAGAAAGAAGACAAATGATTGGATGAATGGCTGAGTGATGAATGGAAAGATAAATGGATGAATGGATAGACTTTTTAAATGGTGCCTCAGGTATGCTAGGGAAACTGTCTACCACTAAGCTACGTACTCAGCCTATATAAATGATTCAGTGAATGGGTGGACTGATGCATAGGTGGGTGGGTAGGCTGTTCGAGGCATGAGTGGTTAGATAAATGGATGGGTGAGTGGTTGGCTGATTGGTGGAGGAGTGGCTGAACTGGATAAGTGGTTGGATGGTTGACAGGAGAAATTTTTACTTCAGTAGCTCTTTGAAGGATGATTCTGGCTGGGAGAACGAGGCTACAGATGGGACATAGTTTGGGGGATGATGGACCTCAGGCCAACTCCCAGTCTCGGGTCTTCAGGATGAAGATGAGGAGGACCAGAGCCTGGATGACATGGAGAAGACGTCAAAGGGGTCCACAGGGCGCCTGCGGATTCGCCATGCCGAACTGGCCCAGGCGGGTGCTTACCAGTGCATTGTGGACAATGGAGTGGCACCTCCGGCCCGAGGGCTGGTTCGTCTTGTTGTCAGATGTGGGTAACACCCAAACCCCAGACTTTAGGCCTGCCTCTAAACCCCCTGCTCTTATGTCTTCCCACATATTCATGTGGACCACCCCCAACCTGTCTTAGTTGCCCCCCAGGTGGAGCATCCCACTCCCCTAACTAAAGTGGCTGCAGCTGGGGACAGCACCAGTTCTGCCACCCTCCACTGCCGTGCCCGTGGTGTGCCCAACATTGTCTTCACTTGGACCAAAAATGGAGTCCCTCTGGATCTCCAAGATCTCAGGTGAGCCTAGGCCCAGCCAGGCAGTGTTTCAGTCCAAACTCTGGTTCCCCCAGTGCCAGTTCCCCTCTCTGAGCATGCCCCTTCTCTCCAGGTACACTGAGCACACATACCACCAGGGTGGAGTTCATAGCAGTCTCCTGACCATTGCCAACGTGTCTGCAGCCCAGGATTATGCCCTCTTCACATGCACAGCCACCAACCCCCTTGGCTCGGACCACACCAACATCCAGCTCGTCAGCATTAGTATGATGGGTGGGGGCTGGGAGGATATGGGGGGCTCTCCTTGTGTCCACTCCCAAGTCCCTGGTTGGCCCCATCCTTGAAGTGTTCCTGACACCTGAGAGGTATTTATGAATGAGGAGGGAGTTTTTACCTGCCCTGATATTCCATGGGAGACTAGATGTTCTCTCATGTAGGGAGCCCACATCACACGTGCGCGAGCGCACACACACACACACACACACACACACACACACACATGCACAAAGATGGTGTAGGGGACTTATTGGCTCAAGTAACTGAAAAGTGAATTGTCAAGGGTTGAATCTAGGGTTAGTTGTCATCAGAACTTCTGCCCATCTCTTAGGTCGACTTTTCTCTGTGTTGGCTTTATTTTAAGCCTCCTCATAGTGGTCTGTTAGAATTCCCAGAGGAAATAGAATTCCTCCTGTTCCTAGCAGGTGGGTGGTAATTCTAGAATTAAATGTCATTGGCTCTATTTAGATTCCAGCTCATCCCTGAACCAAGTATCTGGTCAGAGGAGGACAGCACTCTGATTGGCCAACACTGGTCACATGTCCTACTAGGACTGGGGTTACTTCCATCAGAAGCATGTGACCTGAGAATGTGGAGGGTGGTTCTCCAAAGGAAATGCAGAGTGTTAATAACTAGAAAAAAATGAAGGGAATGGACATGATGTTAGCATACAAACAAAAATCCATTCTGTAGCACTCAGGAGGCTGAGGCAGGAGAATCACTTCGAGTTTGAGGCCAGTCTGGGCTACAAAGTGAGTTCAAGGCCAGTCTGAACTGCATAGTAAAACCATGTCTCAAAAAGACAAAAAAAAAGTGTACTTCAAAGATATATATACTATCCTCATTTTTAAAAATTCGCATATTCACTAAAATTTATTCCAAACCCATACTCATGGGGTTTTTGTGGTCACTCGGATACATGCACAGAGGGATGAACAGTTTGAGTCACCGAGTGGGCATGTTTCTAGCTGAGGTGGAACAAGGTGACATTCTGCCATATTGTTCCACAACTTATACAGTAAACAAATGTCCTTTTTCTGGTTTCTTTAGTGCCCCCTTTCACATTTTTGTAGTTGTTTTTGCTGTTTAAAATTATCCCCAATAATTTGTTGTAATTTGAAACAGTATCCTCACTAATCAGTGAGTTGCCCGGGCTGTATTTGACCTTGTGATCTTCCCGGAGTGCTGGGAGGACAAGCACAAACCACCACACTTGGCTAAAATCAACTGTATATTTAATATCATTCTTAGTAAAGACCTGGATAGAACCATTTTATATCCTCTGACTGCTTCTCCCACACTTCTGCCCAAAGGCCGCCCTGACCCACCGCTGGGATTGAAGGTTGTGAGCCTGACTCCCCACTCAGTGGGCCTGGAGTGGAGGCATGGTTTTGACGGGGGGTTGCCACAGAGGTTCCACATCAGGTGAGTCACTGTTGAGGCAAGTTAGAGGGGGTAGGAAGTGAAGGTTGAACTGACTCTTCCCTGTCATGCAGGTATGAGGCCCTGGAGACTCCTGGGTTTCTCTACGTGGATGTCCTACCACCCCAGGCCACCACCTTCACGCTAACTGGGCTGCAGCCTTCCACGCGATACAGGGTCTGGCTGCTGGCCAGCAATGCCATGGGAGACAGTGGGTTAACTCACAAGGAGATCCAACTGTCTATCACTACCCCAGGTAGGAAGGGACAGAGTTGGGCAGGCTGCAGAATTCCTCAGAGGACTTATAGAGTGGTTTAGTGAAGTGGATTCTATTGTTTTTTCCCTTTTACAAATGCAGTAACTAAAATCCAGTGAAGTTAAGTAAATGACCAAGGTTAAACAGCCAAAGAGAGGTGGAAGGAGATAAGATTGAAACTCAGGCAGATGAGCTCCAGAGATCAGCTTTTAGCCAATATCCTGTCTTGTCTGAATATGATTACTGACCAAGGGAAATTAGAAAATAGTGTGAGGCCAGGCATAGTGGCACATGCCTGTAATCCCAGCACTTGGGGGGGCTGAAAATAGTTTGATTTGAATGAAAATGGAAACATACAAATTTTGAGGGCATGGCTGAAGCAGTGCTTACAGAGAAATGTATGGCGTTAAGTATTTATATTAGATTTGAAAAAGAAAGGCCTCAAATGGACATTGTAAGTTTTCATTTTAGCCAGGCATGGTGGCACGTGCATGTCCCAGCACTCTGGGAAGCTGAGGCAGGAGGAGTGCCGTGAGTTCAAGGACAGCCTGAGCTAATAGCAAGAATCTGTCTCAAACAAACAAAAAGTTTTCATCTTAAACTAGAAAAAAAAGGAGCAAATTAAACCCAAAACAAGCGGAAGAAAGGAAATGATAAAGAGCAGAAATTAATGAAGAAAGGACCCCTTTCTCAATCCTACAATCAGCCTTTTTTCCCCCTCATTCCAGTCTTGCTTGTTAGCACTAAAACATAAAATACTAAATTCACTTCCCTGCTCTAAAATTTGTACTTCTGTTAAGAAATCAAGAGAGCCCATCTTTTTGTATTAACAAAACTGGTAATTCAGGTTACAGGACCTTGCACATCAGTAATAATTAATCATCATCATCATTATCATTGACATTTAAATTGCTATTAATAGTATTGCCATTATCATCAGTAATTTCCAGTTATCTTTGAAATAAGAAGCCATCCATGCCAGTTCCCATGAGTCTCAAAGTCAGCTGAAAAGCTTAATAAGAGGATAAGAAATACTTAAGGCTTATCTCAGATTCTTAGAATTAATTCTCTATATCCACCCTCCAGCCCTGGACCAGCCTTCCAGAGAGCCTTATGACCAGCCTCCTACGCAGCAACCTGCAGGCAAGTCCTCAATTCTGAGCCCCACCCCCTCCCCTGAGAGTTGAACCTTCTGGTCCCTGATCCCATCTCTGCTTCCTTGTTGGTTGCAGCTGCCTAAGACTCAGCCTGTCTTTGCAGACTTTCACTTGTATCCTTGGCTCTTTTTCTTGCTTAGAGTGATGCATTCTCATTCTTCCTGATTTAGTTTATTTCTAAAACAGCTGAAACCACACTCTGGGAGGAGGCTGTTTCAGTTAGCTCTAGCTGCATAACAAACCACCCCAAACACAAGTGCTTATAAAAAAAAAACACATTACTTCCAATGGTTCTTTTGAGTCCAGCAGAATAGTTCTGGTCTGGGCTGGTTTGAATCATCTCTATAAGCAGCTGGCAGCTGGACTGGGCCATGTGTCTGACAGTCATCTGGCTCTTAACTGGGACAATGGAGATAATGGCCATGTATCTCTCCTTGGTTTGCTCACCTGGAAGTGGTCACAGCAATGAAAGAAAGGATAAGCTGCAGTTTACTAGCATGTTGTAAGGGTCTGATTCTGTCACATTTACTGTGGTCCCACATGACTCAATGAGTCAGTGTGGAAGAGGATGACCCAAGAGTGGATACAGCAGGGGGACTGTGACCATTTGGTGGACAGGCTTCCTTCAGAGTTTGAGAGGAAGGTGGAAAGTGACATAAATTCAGCTGCTGTTGACACTAAAAAGAATTGCTTGGTTAACGAAATTGAAAATTCCAGGTGTGGCTGGATTTAGGTGCTCAAAATGCCCACCAGCAATCTGTTTTTCCCATCTCTCAACTTGACCTTCATCTGTGGTAGTTTCTTTCACAGGTTTTTCTCTCATCAGGGCAAAGAAGGAGCCAGCCATGGTGGCACATGCCTATAATTCTAGCACTATGAGAGGCTGAGGCAGGAGGATTGCGAGTTTGAGCCCAGCCTAGACAACTTAGCAACTTAGCAAGACCCTGTCTCAAAATTTTAAAAAAGAAAACTTAAGGCTTAGAATGTAGCTCAGTGTGAAAGACCTGGGTTCACTCCCTAGCACTGCAAGGGCAGTGGGGAGAAGCCTTTCTACACTTCCAGCTTTCTTTCCACTTCTTAGCGGCCCACAGAAGTATCCTAACTGTGTGACAAAAAGCCAGCCTGGGTCAAAGGCAGTGTCTGAACCAAAGGAAAGGGAGGTGGGTGATCTTATCCGCCAGGCTAGGCCATGTGCCCATCAAAGAGTCCTGCCTGGGCCATAGGGGCGGGAAGCAGGGAAGTGGCTGCTCCCCAAAGGAAAACAAATGGCATTAGCAGAAGAAACAGAAATAGATGCCAAGCAGATGTTTACTTAGGAGTCTCTGTTCTTAGGGATATGGCAGCCTGATTCTGACGGGGGTCAAAGGTGGTGGAAATAAGTCACTTGCTATGGGATTTGCAGGGTCACTAGAAGTGCTTTTAAAAGGGAAAAACTTTGAGGACAAATGCTTGATTATTCTAAGGCTCAGAGGTATGAGTTTGCTTGAGTGATTCTGGAAACTGCTGCTGGTTAGTTTGTGTGGCTGGAAGGTCCAACACAAAGGTCAATGATTGGCGGGTAAGGCTGGAGCTACGGGAAGAGACCAGATCACTCGACTCCACAGCTGGGGCGCTGAACTCTCCTTCTCAGTCCAGCTACTGCTCAGGCACGGGTAGGACCTGCTGCTAATGCCTTGACTTGAAAAAAGAGCCACTTGCCTTTGGATGGCAAAAAGGGGTGAGAATAGAGACCCCTGCTCATTCACTTCTTTCATCTTGAAAGAGAGAGTTTGATTTCTTTTCACTACTAGAGACTGAATCCAGTGAACTACACTGTCAGCCCATTGTTAAAATTAAAAAAATTTTTTTTGCAGTACTGGGGACTAGATCCAGAACCTTCAAACTAAAGTACATCCCCAGGCCATTAAAAAAAATTTTATTGAGACAGGGTCTCTCTAAATCATTAAATTACCCAAGTTGAGTTTAAGCTTTTGCTCCTCCTGCCTCACCCTCCCAAAGTGCTGGGATCCTAAGTATGCATTGCCATGCCTGGCTGCCCTTTTTATTTTTATTTTGAACAGGGTCTTACTAAGTTACTCAGGCTGCCTTCAAACTTGCAATCCTCTTGCCTCGGCTTCCCTAGTAGATGGGATTACAGGCATGTGCCACCACACCCACCTAGGGATAGGCTTTCCTAAGAGTCCACTCCAGGTGTACAGCCCATTGCCTGGGGTCACTGAGGGGCATCTTCCCCCCAGAATCCCCAGGACTGCCCCTCCTGCCTGTGATGTTTGCAGTCGGGGGTCTTTTGCTGCTTTCCAATGCCTCATGTGTTGTGGGATTCCTCTGGTGGCGAAGACAGAGGCATCTCGCTGAGGGTGAGTAGATACCTCCTTCCCAATGGGATAGAGACCCCAGGGCGATGGAGACCCTCGGGTTACTACACAATGGAGGTTTCTCCAAGGCCAAGTGAGCTGGGACAGGGTGGGTGCTGACCCTTTCCCTATTTTTCCCAGGTATCTCAGAGAAGACAGAGGCAGGGTAAGTGGGCACGTTTTCTGGAAAGAAGACCCTGAGGGAAGAGGTCTGGGGGTGACAGGTGGCAGAAAGTCAGTATCCAACTGCCGTCTCCATTGTGGAAGGTCAGAGGAGGAGGACCGAGTCAGGAATGAATATGAGGAGAGCCACTGGACTGGGGACCAGGACACTCGAAGCTCCACAGTGAGTGGGGCGGCCTGGACAGCCTTACAGACAGGGAATGATGGATTTCATCAACGGCTTCAGGTTAATCATTGCCCTTTTCTGGATCTATGGAAAAGATTTTACTTGTTTTTCTGTGTGTGCACACATGACAGGTTAGCACGATAGAAGTAGAGCCACATTACCACTCCTTGAGGGACTTCAGCCCCCAGCTGCCCCCCACACTGGAGGAAGTGGCTTATACCCGAGGTGAGTTGTGAAAACATCAGGATTTCTGCATCCCGAGGTACCCATGTCTTATAGGCTGGGTGCCCTAATCCTCCAACTTCCCACACCACAGGTCTTAAACAGGAGGACGTGGCTTTTCCTGGGCACCTGTATGATGAGGTGGAGAGAATATATGCCCCACCAGGGGCCTGGGGACCCCTTTATGGTGAAGTGCAGATGGTGAGCAGATTTGTGTTACCATTCCATCTAGGCTGGTGACCCGCTTTATGCTGTTGTATTAGGGTAAGCTAGCTGCTGTGACAAAGAGGCCTGCTTAATGCAGGTTCTGCAGAAAACAGTCTATTTCTTTTTTACATAGCTGTCAAAGGTGAGCCCTGCTGTACATCGTTATTTGAAACCCAAGTTCTTTCCACTGTGTTCCTTTACCATTTCTTATCACATCCATTGTCCTGGTCTATGTGGATAGGAAGATTCACTGGAGGTTTCAGCTGGAGGGAGAAGGGAAGAGCAAATGTGGTAGAGGCACAATCCAGCCTCATGGCCCAGGCCTAGAAATTGTACACATCTGTCAGTGACTACATGGTCACATGGCTACACCTAACTGCAAAGGAGGCTGGGAAATGTAGTCTTTTTTTTTTGGTACCGGAAATCGAACTCAGGACCTTGCACTTGCCAGGCAGGCACTGTGCCGCTGAGCTATATCCCCAGCCCAGAAATGTAGTCCTACTTGAGAGCTATGTGCCTTACTACACAGTTCTGTTCTTACAGAAGAAAAAGGGGACACATTTCCTTTGAGACTTAGCCATCTCCACCACACTGGTTAAGCAGATAGAAAGAAAAATATTTTTGTCTACTCAGTTGTAAAGTTAGGAGACAGAATTGTTGTTAAGACCAGCTGGACACAGAATTTCTTCCCTAAAGATTTTCCAGAAGTCCAGCTTTGTTCCTGTTAGGTAAAAATCTTCAGATAAACAGAATACCTCTTTCTCAATAGCTTTAAAGGCCCAACACTGACATATTGGTCTAGCTTGGATCATATACTCATTGTTGAGCCAATCATCAAAGCAGGAAATAGTAGCTGGGTGTGGTGGCACACACCTGTAATCCCAGCATTTGAAAAGCTGAGGCAGGAGGATTAACACAAGTTTGAAGGTTGGGCTACATAGTGAGTTCAAGGCCAGCCTGAACTACATAACAAGACTCTTGTCTCCAATAACCAAATCAAACCAAAACAGGGAATAATATATACCAATTGGAAAGGCTTGGAGCAGTGCCCACTCATAGGACCAGGGAATAGCATCCAGCCATACTCATTTCGCTGGACTGAGAGTGGAAGAGGACAGAGAACCCAGGGGAAGTACAGACTGTGGCTGGGCACATGAAAACATAGAAACTTTGACCAGACACCTACCCATTGTCTTACAGTAAGATAGGTGGAACAGAATGCCCAATTCTCTACATGACCTTGGCTAATGTTAGGCACCTGTGGACCAAGCCATTCCCCACTGGAACAACATCCCACCCGGGTGCACGGTTCACAGATCACAGAACCACACCACATCACGAAGGAAATAGCGTGTGCAAACGCTGTCCATGGTGCTGGACCATATGGGCCTTCAAAAGCACAGATGGAGTCTGCAGACTTTTTCTGTATGGGGTCAGAGAGTAAATGTTTTGGGCTTATGGCACATATGGTCTTCCTCAAAACTACTAAGCTCTGCCATAGTAGGTAAAAGCAGTCATAGCTAATACACAAATGATTAAGTGTGGCTATGTTCCAATAAAACTTTATTTTTGAACACTGACATTTGAATTTCGTATAATTTTCATATGTCACAAATATTATCCTTCTTTCAATTTTCTCAACAAATTATAAATATCAAACCATTCTTAACTCTCAGGCGATTAAAAAAATATCAGGCAACAGGCCATGTTTGGCTCACAGGCCAATCTGCTCTACTTTGCCGAGCTGAACAACTATTTTTCCCCAGCTGTAGAGCAAATCTATGTCCCCAGCAAATATCACCCTTTGTGGCCCTTTTCCTCTTTTTTTTTTTTTTTTTTTTTTTTTTTTATGGGGAAATTCCAATACCCGCTATTCTGAGGTGATTATCAGGTTGCAAATTATTTTTTTGGTTTTTCTCCCGTACCGGGAACTGAACTCACGACCTTGCGCTTGCCAGGCAGGCGCTTTGCCGCTGAGCTAAATCCCCAGCCCCCCTCTTCTGTTTTGTTGGAGAAACATTTTGGAAATGGATAGGACTAACAGGAACATGACTTGATAGCTCATATCACAAGCTTTTTAAAGTTTTCATATTCTTGACATTTAAATTATTTTCCTGAGATGAAATCATGGGATATCTTGGACTTGTTTGCAAATAATCCAATTGGTGGAAGTGGAGGGTGAGAAGACAGATTTAGATAAATAACCAGTGAACCTTTGATAGCTCAGCTGGCAGAGCAGGGAACTGTAGATAAATAAACAGGAACTAAAGGTCAGTACTATGAAAGTTAAATGACGAGTACATGGGGGTTCATGAGCAAGACTGGTAATCATCACTGTCTTCTCTGTGTACATTAGACATTTTCCAAGTTAGTTAAAAGCTAAAATATTTTTCCTGGGAAGTTGAGCAGGAAAGTGTGTCCTTCAGAGCTGTGATTATAACCCATAGGCCTTTTCTCTGTGGTTCTAACTCCACTTTTATTCTATCAGGGCCCCTATGACGTTTGCTGGCCTGAGGACAAGTATGATGATCCAGGAAGAATCTATGACCAGGTGGCAGGAGATCTGGGCACTATGGAAGATTCTCTTCCCTTTGAGCTAAGGGGTGATCTGGTGTGACGGCCTTCTCAGCAGTGCTTTCTTGCACCTACAGGACATAATACTCTAATGGTCCTTTTCATTCCAGCCTGGCTGAGCCTGTGAAGTGAGCTGCATAGGATACAAAGTGAATAGATTTTTTTCTGGAGAGGCCATGGGGGAAATGTGTGTAAATGACAGAAGATAATTCAACCTGGTGTCAGAGTATAAACAAGGTTCTTCCTGGGTTTGGCTTTAAGAACTAAACTTCTCCAAAGTGACAGGGTAACTTGCAAATGGCATCTCAACAACAAAACTTTGAGCCAGGTATTGTGGCACAAACCTGTAATCCCAGCACTCTGGAAGACTGAGACAGGAGGATAGCAAGTTTGAGTCCAGCCTGGGCAGTTTAGGGACTTAGAGAGAAACCTGTCTGAACTTGGGGGGGTTGGGGTTGGGGTTGGGAGTGTAGCTCAGTGTGAAGGCCATGGGTTCAATCCCCAGCACCATGATAGAACAAAAAACACAAACGAAATTCAGTCCTTTTTGAGTTTGATTACATTTGAAATAGCTAATGGTTATATCCTGCCTATTTTTATTTTGTTATTTTTTATAGTATCTAAAACACCCTATATAAACTCTGACACATGTAAACATAAACTATTAAAAGAAGGTAGATGCAAAAAAATGTATATTGTATGATTTCATTTATAGGCAAAACTAATTTATCATACTTTTTTGCATAAGAGAATGCATTGTTCTTAGGAAGTATGCACTATTATACATTTAGCATAGGAGGGTATTGTGGCTTCAAACTATTCTGAAACAGCTGAGAAAAAGTGTACATGTACACAGGAATAGAAAACAATAAAGCAAATGCAGTAAAATGTTAACATCTGAGGAATGTGGGTAAAATGCATATTGTAATTTTTTGCATCATTTTTGGAACTGTTCTGTAGGTCTGAAATTATAGCAAAATTAAAATGTAAAAGTTACTGTAAAGGTGCATGGTAATATAGAAAGCAAGCAACAGCACGTGCTGCTGGATCTCAAAAGTTATACAACTCTGCCCAGCACTTTTCACCTTTCCATGGTTACACCATATTTTGCTTAAATCCCTCAGCAGATTTCCTCCATTCTCCCCTTGTGGCTTTTTTGCTTTCTTCCTTGATCCTAATTATTGCCTGTCCAAGGACTGGCTGCCCCAATTCTATAACACCTCGAAGCCCAGCATCACAAAGTTCCTGTCTCTGACCTGTTCTGAATTTCAGATGGGCTAAATCTGACTGGGTCATCTTGATTAAGAAAAAGAAATTACAGGGATAAATTGGTAGAACTGCCTCAGAACCCCATTTGTTGTGATATTTTGAAGTTGAATATTCATATATTCTGTGGTCCAACAATCTGCTCTTATGGTCTGCCTAAGAAAAACTTCTTCACATGTCCAAAAAAGCTCTACTTATAACAGTAAAAGTCTCAGAGCAACCCAAATGCTTATCAGTGGGAGAATGAATATATATATGAATATATATGAATATATATAAATGGGAACTTCATATATATTAATATATTCATATATGAATATATATAATTATATATCATATATGAATATATATAATTATATATATTCATATATAGTCAAATATATATTTATATATATGAATATATATACACACACATATATAATGAAATATTATACAGCAATCAAAATGAATAAGCCAAATGAATCTTAGCAATGTGCTACTAAGAAAAAGAAGTCTCCAGAAGTTACATACAACATAATATCTCTCTTACCAAGTTTAAAAAAAAAAAAACCTTAAAAAAGTTCTAATAATATATCCAAAGGAAAGCAAGTCAAAGATGAACACATGATTGAAGATGTTACTTACCTTTAGAAGGCATATTGACAGGGATGATGATATGGTCAGATGTAGATCATTGTCAGCTTTCATTTTGTGTGATAGTTTTTGTTTTGTTTTGTTTTGTTTTTGTACCAGGAATCAAACTTAGGGCCTAGTGCTTGCCGGGCAAGTGCTGTGCTAATGAGATATATCCCCGGCCCTTGTGTGATAATTTTGCAGCTATTTATTATCAAAACCTAAAAAAAGTTAGAGGACTCATATTCCTGATTTCAAAAGTTCCTACAAAGCTACAGTAATCAAAACAGTATGGTACTGGGATAAAGACAGACATATAGACCAGTGGAATACAATAGAGTCCAAAAATAATCCTTCTCTTATAGGGTCAAATGCTTTAAACAAAGACGTCAAGACCATTCCATGGGAAAAGGATAGCTTTTTACAAATGGTGCTGGGAGAACTAGATAGTCAATGCAGAAGAATGTATTTGGAGTCTTACCTTATGCAGCAGCACTTCAGTTCACGAACTTATTTCTTTCCATGATTCTGGTTGCAGAGTGAGAACTGTACCACATATTAAAATTAACTCAAAACAGGGAAAAGACCTAAATTGAAGAGCTAAAACTGTAAGACTCTCAGAATAACACCAAGGGCAAAATCTTATAACATGGAACTTTAGCCATGGTTTCTGGGATGTGACACCAGTGGCACAGGTAATAAAAGAGAAAAAAAATAGAAAGATTGGCCATCATAAAAATTTTTCAGGGAGACTACATGCCCGTAGTCTCAGCTGCCCAAAAGGCAGCAGCAGCAGGATCACTTGAGCCCAAGAGTTTGAGGCCAGCCTGAGCAATGCAGTGAGACTATCTAAAAAGAAAAAAAAAATTAAACCTTTTGTGACACTATTAGCATGGCAAAAAGTATTTGCAAGTCATACAGCTAATAAGGGGCTAATACCTACAACACATAGAAAACTGCTAAAACTCAACAATAAAAATAAACTGATTTAGTAATGAGCAAAGGATTTGAATAAACATTTCTCTAAAGATAAATAAAAGGCCCAAAAGAAGAGGATCACTAATTATCAGGGAATGCAAATCAAAACCACATTGATGGAGGCTGAGGCAGGGGGATTGTTGTGAGTTTGAGGCCAGCCTGGGCTACAAAGTGAGCTCAAGGCCAGCCTGAACTGCATAGTGAGACCCTGTCTCAAAAAAGCAAAACAAACAAACAAACAAACAAAAAACCACAGGGGCTGGGGATTTAGCTCAGCGGCACAGCACCTGCCTGGCAAGTGCAAGGTCGTGAGTTCAGTTCCTGGTACCAGGGGGGGAAAAAAAATCACATTGAGATACCACCTCATATGCATTAGAATGGCTATTTTTTTAAAGCAAAGAAATCAGTAAATAATAATTATTAGCAAAGAGATGGAGAAAATGGGAACTTCATATGCTATTGAAGGGAATGTAAAATGGTTTAGCTGCTGTGGAAAACAGTCAGCAGTTTTTCTCAAAAGATTAAACATAGAATTATCCAGCAGTCCCATTCTGAGTTTAGACCTAAAAGAATTGAAAAAAGAGTCTCAAAGAGATTTTCATATCCATGTTCAAAGCAGCATTACTCACATAGCTAAAACATGGAGGAAACCTAAGTGTCCATCAGGGAATGAGTGGATAAACAAAATGTAACATATAACACAGTGTAATCTTATTTACCCCTAAAGAGGAAGGAGAGGGCCAGCAATATAGCTCAGTGGCATAAGCACCTGCCTGGCAAATGCAAAGTTCTCAGTTTGATTCCCGGTACCAAAAAAAAAAAAAACAAAAGTCAAACCAATAAAGAGGAAGGAAATTCTGTCACATGCTATAGTATAAATGACTTAAGGACATTACACTAAATGAAGTAAACCAGTCACAACAAGACAGGTGCTGCGTGTTCCACTTCTGTGAGGTACTTGGTAGTCAGATTCGTTACAACACACAGTATAGTGGTGGTGGTCAGGGGCTGGGTAAAGAGAGCAATAAGAAGTTATTGCTTCATGGATAAACCTCAGGGGTCAGAGAGGGGAAGTTATTTGTTTCAGGTCACACAGCAAATATAACATGGGCGTTGCTGGGACTTGAACCTTGGTCTAGTGAGAGTCCAGCCTTCAAGGACGTTTTTGACCACAGACGTTTTAGGGGAATATTACTTGTCTTGAATCTGAGTCTAGAGCTTGAAAGTTCAAAATTGTCTTTGGTTTCCAGATTAGTTTCCTCTGTACTCATAATTTATGGTTTTGAGGTAAACTTCAATACCAAGAGTCTTCTTTTGATTTTTTTTTTCCAAGCTATGCCAGCATGGCTTGGCATAGCTCCTCAAAAAGACTGCTTTCTTCCCTGGGTATAGTGACACATGTCTGTAATCCCAGCAACAAGGAGGTTGAGCTAGGAAAATTGCTGCAAGTTTGAAGCCAGCCTGGGCTACATAGTGAGTTCAAGACCAGACTGAACTAGGTAGCAACACTCTGTCTCAAAAAAACAACAAAAAATGATTAAGATGGTAAATTATGCCAGGTGTGGTGGTGCATGCCTGTAATGCCAGCACTTAGGAGGCTGAGGCAGGAGAATCGCCATGAGTTCAAGGACAGCTTGGGCTACATAGTGAGTTCAAGACTAGCCTAAACTATGTAGTGAGAATCTGCCTCAAATTTTTTAAAAAAATGGTAAATTTTATGTATATTTTACCACAATTAAAAAATTGGAAAAAAAAACCCCTACTAACTAAACACAAAGGTGGGCCAATCCATTCTGTCTTCCTGAGGGCTCAGAAGGAAAAAGAAAACCAAAACAAAAGTGGTCAGGCACAACTACGTGCTGTGGGATGTAACCTGACAAGCATTTTGTAAAACAGCTTGGCAGTATCTACTAAATTAGAACATAGTGATACCCTATCACCCAATAATCACACACCCAATACCGATACTTATACATGTGAACAAAAATACATGAGCTAGAAAGTGTATTGATGTCGGAAACAGGAAACCATCAAAGAGTTCATGAAAGAATGAGTAAACTAATTGCATAGTTACCCAATGGGTACTATCGCAGTGGGGATGAATGAACTACTGACCTGCAGGAAAAACAGGGAGGATCTCACAAGCATAATAGTGAATCAAAGAACTCACCCCCCAAAGAGAACACACTATATGATTTCATCCGCTCAAAGTTAAAACAGACTAGTATGTGGCATTAGAAGTCAACAGTGGAAAGAAAGAAGTGAAGAGTGTATCTTTAGGAGACAGAAGGATAGTGATTAGAGCTGCAGCGAGAGCTCCTGGGGGCTGATAGTGTTTATTGAGCAGCGGATAATTACATGGGTGTGAGCACTTTCAGAAATTTATCATGCTGAACTCTTGTGATATGGGCACATCTCATTATACATCGTACTTTATTAAAATCTTTGCATTATGTTTCGTAGGCAGCATTGTGGTTGGGACTGGGCTTTCTCATATGGTGGACCAAAAAAAAAAAAAAATCATCACATTTATATCATAGTTTGGTTTCAAGAAAAATGCCAGTATATTTAAAACCATATTTTTTTGTTTGTTTGTTTGTTCTTGAGACGGGTCTTGCTATGCAGTTCAGGCTGGCCTTGAGCTCACTTTATAGCCCAGGCTGGCCTCGAACTCCAAACGATCTTCCTTGCCTCAGTCTCCTGAGTGCTGAGATTACAGGCATGCGCTACCACGCCCAGCTAAAACCATATCAAAAGTGATCATATATGTATATATTATATTACTAATGAGACTAATAATGGTATTAATTTTAAAACCCGCATGAACGCCTAT